CCGGCGCAGTTCGTACAATTGTGTCAACGCTACATAAAATCCTTAACCTGAGACTGGATTTATGGTTGTACTTTAGTTAATCTTATACGGTAGGAGGCGAGAGTGTAATTCTCCTTGATGTACATGAAAGGATGTTGGTACTACAAGGCACCTGGGCTGGAGTCCAATACAATCTCGCGCACGAGACGATAGGGGTTCCCCTATGTCAGGCTCAAACGTAATCTCAAAGGCAAGATAAGCAAGTCTGCCTATTCCAACCACGTATTTCAGCATTGTATGAGAGATTAAGACTGTGTTATTTTGCTACTATCTGGATTATCTTACAAATAAGTTCGGGCAGCCTTTAGTTATGGAATACAGCAAATCGATTCGGCAACCATACGTTTGTGTGCACCTTCATTTAATTTTGCTATTCATAGTTTGCGTGGAATTGGAAGAAAACAAGTACATGATATTGTGTACTTGCAGCAGTTGGTCGCGTATGAAAGACATATTCTACGGCACGTGCAACCATTAATCAAATATAGATGCAAACAATACCACATTCATACACTGATACAATAAATGTATAAAAACATATATCTTATAAATAAATAAAAAAAATTAACATGAATGACATGAGATACGGAAAATTTGGCATCAGTACTGCTTATGAGCTAAAGTTCTGGGCCAATAAAAGATGCATATTTACACAAGAGAAGTAACATTTGGAAAGCAAATGCATAATGTTTACCTTCACATATGGTCTGCTCTGTTAAGTCTTACTCAAACACATTCACATATATGGTGACAGGAGTCTAAATCCCTCCTACTATAAAATCGCATTATTATGTTACTAACCCAAAACCAGTTACCATGGTGAGGGACAGTCTGGTTCAGTTAGGTCAGAGGTCACTGTTTGGAGAAGAAGAAGAGGAAACGTAGCAAAACACAATATAATTATCCCGATGAAGGCTACAGTGGTCGCTGAAAATTTGATCTTTGTGTAATTGTGTGTTGGAATAAAGTTTAGCGTTTTACAATGTATAGAAATATATATCTTATAAATAATATCTCCAATGACATGAAATACTGAAAATTTGGCCTCAGTACTGCTTATGAGCTTAAGTTCTAGACTAACAAAAAATATGCATATTTACATAACCCTGTCAGTTGTAGAACATCGTAATACACCATAAGCCGCATACTGCGATAACCTTCATCATTATGATTTACACCGCAGGAAGCCTGGAGAGAAATTAAGAAATGTTTAATCACCATCTACCATCCGATCATAATCATCACATGAATATTTACCTTATTCTACAAACATGCTTGTGGCATGTAATCGCTGAGGCACCGACATAGATAAAACCGTTGATAAGGATAATTGACTTGATAATTAAAAATGTGGCTCATTTACATAACAAGAGATAAAGGAAGGCCTATTATAAGAGGTGTCGCGCTGAAACGAACAACATTGAATAGTCTGCTACAATGATGGTTTACCACGGAAGAATACCCGCGGGTGCCATCTGTTCCAAGTTAATTTGTGAAAGATTTATTGCCTATTGGATAAAGATGAGGTGAGCCAACCTCAGGCGTTGTGATTTCCAAGCGTTAAACGTGCATAGTATGGTTTTAGGGCTTGAAAACAAGATTTTTCAAAGTCAATATTCTAATCACTTTAATATCTGCATGGTAAGTCGACTCAACACTATCCCGATGTATATCAACATTCATGGAGCAAAATATGAAATGTTGTTTAGTGGTGAAACGCACTGGTAGGATTCTGAGCTGATATGTGGGGTGTCATTCAAGAAATGAAGGCCTTGTCTTAGGGCTTCTGTGCTGTTTTAAACATCCGAAGTATAGAAAACTGATGCAAATGTGCGGCATAATGAGTCAATATCATTCCAGTTTTGCCGCCCTGAAATTGCAATGGATGTATTAAATGCACTGTTTTGTGTTTTTCAGGAGGAGGTACCAGCGACCAAACCCCAGACTACCCCGGTACGCGCATGAAGAAGTGTTACAACCAAAAGGAAGTACAAGACGGCGATTAAAAAAACATCACCGTGGAAATGTTCTAACGGACCATTACTGACTTTGTTCAAATACCCAAGACGAGCGAAAACGAGGAACATAAAAACACCGTAACGATAGTGAGAAAGACCTCCGACATATCATCTAACTCGGTTGTGTTATTGGAAAAGCTATTTCTACTTGAAACGACCGGCGGATTTCTCACTCACATTGTGGATGATGCGTCTAAGAGAATGCGTCTATGACTGTATAAAGCATGCAGACTACCGCGCGGTATTGTCCTTCTCAGAAAGACGTACCTTAATCATAAATAGAATTCTGCGAAACTTTCATTTTAAGACGACGATTTAAACATCCCCGAGGCTTACTCTTAAAGGGTAGAAATCGATACAATTGCCGAGAAAGGAATGCATCGATACGCCGATAGGACGGGCCTGATTGCAGGATCTCCGTGTTGAATGGATTTTTCGCGGCTTTATGACTAGAATGGGGACACGCCGTGTTTAATTGGTGCACGGAAAATCTTCTGGACAGCTCTGGCACTAAGTTATGCAACGAAGACTTCCTGTGCTATTTGGCGAACACTTTAGGCACTTCACGGGCTGAAAATTAACACCACCTAATTTTAAATGAACAGCCAAGAATCATTTTCTCCACTTGTGAAACGTTGGGATTGTACATTGATGCAGCTGCTTTAGTACTAGTATCATCTAACAGATATATACGGTGTTTCCTTGTGTTTACCAGCATCACTAGGACAGTCTGACAAGTATGGCCGCACAAGAACCGGTGTTCCTCGAACTCCTGGTTGTTGCCGTCTGCGGCTGCTTTGCCCCGATGTTGTGTGTCACTTGCCCTAAGCAGTGTGATTGCGGACAGTCGTTCACCCAAATCAACTGCAGCAGTCGAGGAATAACCGACGTCCCGAGAGGAATTTACGAGAACACTTCGGAACTTCTCCTGAAGGCGAACGCCATCGAGTCCCTCAGACGGGACCAGTTCCTGAGATTGCGACAGCTCGAACGTCTGGACCTCAACGAAAACGTAATCATGACCATCCAAGAAGGAGCATTTAATGGGTTGTATCGATTACAGATACTCAATTTGCGCAGAAATCGCCTGAGGAGTCTACAAGGGGGCATGTTCAGGTATCTTACCAACCTACGGGAGTTAACACTACAAGGGAACCCGATTATATGCCTGGAGGCTTACACCTTCTCCCATTTGCCCTCGCTCAGAAAACTGGACTTGAGGGAATTGCGCCAACTCAAGGCGATATCAAGGAATGCGTTTAATGGATTGACTGCTCTGGTATCTCTATCCATGTCAGATTCCAACTTACGCCGCTTGCCTTATTTACAACATTTAACTAGCCTTCAGGACCTGGATATGTCCAGAAACTCAATATCCGTCCTGAATGCAAATAACCTTCAGGGTCTTGTAAAGTTAACGAGACTAGTGCTGTCCTTTAACCATTTATCCACTGTGGAACAGGACTCACTCGATGACCTTTTTAGTTTGTCAGAGTTAGATCTCTCTTACAATAACATCACCAGCTTGCCATACAGGCTTTTTAGAGATACCTCTTTGGTCAAAGTATCCCTCCAGCGGAATCCGTGGAACTGCACGTGCGTTGTTCATTGGTTAGCAAGATGGCTGCAAGAACACATGCGCAATGATACCAGTCTGCTCCAGTTACAGCGATGCGGTGGTTGCTTTTCTCCGGTCGAATTGCGTAGGAAACTTCTCTGTGACGTTCCGTTGTCGAGCTTAAAGTGCAAAAGGCCGCAAATTCATAAGGTTCATCCTACGGTAAACGCCACTGTAGGCGGCAATGCGGCGTTGCAGTGCGAACTTTCACCTGGTGTAGAGACGGCAATAAGCTGGATAACACCGGATGGGAGCAGAGCTAAGCGAAGCTCTTTCAGAGGAGGAAGAGTTAAAGTCGTGAATGATGGCACCCTTAACATCTCAAGGGTCACCATGTCCGACGCGGGGGTGTACCGTTGCATGGCAACGAACGACGCTGGCTTTGACAACTTCTACAAAATTCTGAACGTCACAGGTAGCATTCTACCCGAGTTCGCCGCCACGCAAGTTCCCATCAATCTAGACGACATTCCGGAAGTTGATGACTTCGATGTCAGTTATTGCACGAATCCTCGTGGTGACGAGGACGTGTTTCTTTTGAATAGAACACAGTACACACAGAGAGATGTTAATCTGGAGCCGGAGGATCCTCGTGTAAATCCAACTGCAGACGCTACAAAGATCCCCCCAATGGACTCCCCTACCCAAAAAGACGATGATAAAGATACGTTCATGACGTTGTACAAAGGATATCTCATTGCGGCTCTCGTTGCAGCTGTTTCCTTAGGGACCCTTTTGTGGATTTTGGTCTGTGCAGTTATGAAATGTTCCAAGGAAAGAAACAGAGACGATAGGAAGAATAAAAGACTAGCCAAGTTAAAGAAGGAAGAAGCATCGGAATCACGATTTAACGTGTCCTGTGTAAAGAGTATAGACCCCGAGGAAACTGTAGAAATACCAGATGTGTATACTGTAAGTAAACTGACAGGCATTTTCGAAGATATGACTGTAAATCCTGCCACTGAAACAATAGTGTAAGCTGTGTAAATGCATTGACCTTATTGATAGGTAACCAAATACGCATTGTTGTTGTTCTTCGTACGTATCTACATCAGATATTATATGCCTAGTGCGTTTTCTAAATAAAAGAATTTGCCAGGAAACTACGTTTTCAGGACGACGACGCTGCAGCAACAGTTGAAAACCCCCCTTGCAGTGCACGTAGATTTTATTTGGTTAGACGTAACCTAAGAAAAAACGCAACACCTTTCTTCGTATTGGTTACAGTGCATGAAATCCAACATTTAAGCACACCTTGAAGCATGGATAAAGGTACCGTTCTTGTTTTACTGAAAAGGAAACCTTTACGCATAATTGAGTGTATGCTTAAATATTTGCTTTTATGCAGTGTTTCTTTTTCAACTCTCAACAACAATTCTCATATCTCTGTGTTGATTTTCTTATTATTATATAGAGAGGTGAATGATGGTGTCAGACTTATAGAATATGGTGGAAAGTGCATTCCTCATTTCATACATGTTGCAAATTGTAGATTATTTCAAGTAAAAGAATCTGCTCTCAGAAAGTCATTCAATGTTTCATTGTATCTTGTCACTTGGGAAAATTCCTGAAACATACATTCCAACAGCTGGTGCCACTTGTCATTTCTGAATAACTCATGAAAATAATTACTCAACCATATACTGTCTCAATTATATGGAAAATGACGAATATGTGGAAAACGATGGCAAAATATTTTCCAATTTTTGTCAAAAACAAATAAGCCGATAAATACTTAAAGCATACTCAGCAGCAATTTATATTACGAAGCTCGCTTCAGATAAAGAATTTACCTCTACATAGAATGATAATTTACCAATACAAGGTTTTGAATATATTTGTAAATAAAACTTTGGTTAATGTTACATTCTGTATTTAGTAGTGTCAATTTAATGAAAGCAATACATTGATAGATTTAGGGCTTGTTATTAACAAGAATAATTTCATGACAACATAATTGGTGCCTGTACCTGTAGCAAGATTGCTACGTAGGAGATTCAGTATTCAAGTTACTGGAAGTAATATTTTGAGTGACGCTAATTTATTTTAGGTTTGTATGTTTGGATTCCCAAGTGAGTGGGTGGAGATTGGGTTTCCCTTGATTGACAGGTTTGACCAGGTATACATAAACCATGGTGCAATATTTAGCGGAGTGTCATCGGCACAGTCGCACAATTGATAATGTATTTTATGATGCAATCCATTGACACAAGCGATGTATACTTCCCAGAAGTTTCAAATCTTCTTGTTTTTATGTCAATCACGATGCAAACAAACGTCTTCGCTGAAGAAGCCAGATGGCAAATGCATACTTAGATATATGCAGTTTATCTGTATTCCCTTTGGAATCAATAGTGCACTCGAAGAAGATTACTGGCGTATCAAGGTTAATCTCGAATCACTTTGCCATGAAAACGGGTGTTATTTGTGTTATGCTAAATCCATCTTATTACTAAAGGTTTACTGAGCTTAAGATGCATATCAATCTTCCTTGTAGATACTGTCTGTGGCACTAGCTTCTCTATAAAGGTTTCTAATAGAAAAAAAATGTTTCATACATCACATTCTTTTGGCATCTCGTTGAAAGTAGCTTATCCCTTTTACGTTCGTTCATTTTACGTACGTTTATGAAGGCAAAAGCTACCTCTCTGGTTACAGGACATTAAAACGAAAGTTACAACGCAATTCTATTGGTCAAACATAAACTTGCGATCTCGAAATCACTTGCACGTATACAAGGCTCAGAAGCAATACAAAGGTGGAGATTATGAGGTCCCAGTAGAACTATATGGCATCATACAATCAACATTATCAGCGGCCAAATGCACCTCTGATCGATCCCAATCCCTACCCTAATCCATGATCATATTTGCTGTCAGGTACGGAATATTTTAGTGATTCTATTTACAGGATTATTGATTTTGATATTGAACTTTTCATGATGTCCAAGAGACGGTCGTCTGGAAAAGGGACCTTTGAACGACAAGGGCATTATCGCAGGTTAATGGCTATCAAATAGATCTATAAAGGTTATAAGCTTTAATCAAGAGGGCAACTTGTCAATCCTGTACTAACCCAACTAGACAGACAGGGTAGATCAATGCGTTTTGAGCCTTGGTCACAACAGAAATATATCCCAACGCGAAGTTTAAGCTGTAATTTTCAACACAAGATATTTGACCTGAGCAGTGGATCAAAGGCTGCAGACAGTCTGTGGCATCCCCGGTCACTGAGTCACCTGTGTCATCTGCATAAAGTGACGTCACAGAAGCGGTGGATTGCTCATTTCTGGACAAAGGCTGTAGTTGTACATTCAAAAATGAGGGTAGGTACAACCTCCTGTGTTGGAAATTACAGTTTATACTTGCTTTATAAAGAGTTCAAAGAACACATATGGACTTTCGATATACTAATATACTAAGTACTGTAGTATTTGACCATATGTTGAAGAAGGAAATTATGAAATACAAAGATACATTCTAGTTGCCTGAGTAATGATCCGGGAAGACGTGATTCAGAATTGATGACACCTTCCTATACTCGGTTTCGAAACGGAAACAGGCTCTGATAAAATGAAGGATCTAAACTGATCAACACAACTTTCAATTTAGTTGAAGTTTTCAGACGGCAACCGCCATTTTTTTCTCCAGCTACTGAAAGGGTAGTCACATAACCAAGAGGTTGAAAGGCCAACACGTGACTGGACGAGGGTAGTGTATATGGGTAAGAGTTTCAATTACATACATTACTTCAATTACATACATTATCTACGGACTCTCATCGTTTTAAAGGTACTTAAAAAAAAAACTATTCTGAAGATTTTCTACTTATCATGCTATATGATCTGATACTCGTAACAACGACTTCACCATTTTCCGCGCGACGTTATCTCTACTTAAACTATTGCCGCACATGAGCCCACTCGTTAAGAACCAATTTCATTACCACTTCCATCTCCCTCGTGAAAATTGACCGCCATGTTTCGATTGAAGTGGAATTGTGGGCTTTACCTAATGAAAGGGCAAAACGAAATGGCGTCGTTTCGTTTGATTTAGTTCCCCATTGGCTGTGCTATCAAGTGACCTCGTTCCATGCAAATCAAAAAAGTGCTTTTGAGTAACATTACAAGGTCTTAAAGATGGGTATTATATTTCCCCAAAGAAGAAAGGGTTATATATTTATATTATTACACTATCATTTTAGTATGTAGTTCCCGTTCACTGTGAATGGAATAGTGAAGATATTAGTTTGCATGCAACACAGTACTGTTCACCGACTTTCCATACATTGTATCCACTACAACTGTTGTGGAATAAAGTAAATCAATTCACTGCCAAGAAAAATAGGGGAACAAAAATAAAGATAAAGTCGAACAATTTACAATTTTAAGCAACAAAGATGTGCTTCATGCACTCATGGAGCGAGTTCTTTCCATGACCCAGGTTGCTGACAAGCGATATTTCATCATTTCTTTCTCCAATTCTACTTCCCGGGGCAGCGGTTCAGTTGACCTGAGACCTCCCCTGTGGCTTTATTGATAGCATTTGTCAAAGAAGAAAGACTGTCCAGATTTCCGTTGCCTCAGGTAAATTTAGTTACCAGAAGACTTTATGATTGATGTTTTTATTTGCATCCTTTGGACAAGAACGCGGTAGACGTCACCGTTCCTTTTACCAGGCGCCTAATGGAGTCAGGCTTTACTGTACCGTGTTCGCAAATGGAGCTTCATATATCAAAGAGAATGTGAAAAAACAGGTTGGTACAAAGACGTTGGTACTTTACATCCAAAGGGTAGTGCAATCGCACCGTGCAATGGGTGTCACTGCCTTTTTCTGCAGCATATGCTCAACAGAATCGTGAATGATGTAGTCGTGGTGGCGCCTGTAGGTACACCTCAGTTGGGACTATGTCTGATGTGGTTTCTGGTGTTCAGGGAGACATCACCACCATTCACGGGATTCTGCATATCCATCACCAATGTATATGTACTTTAACACAGCAGCCTCATTTTGGTTACGTCTGGGCCAGTAACCCTGCACGTTGATGAAGGTAAAAGTTACTCACAGACAGTTCAAAATCTACTACTAAATAGATGAATACGGGCATTACTTTTGGAAGTTTCCTGACAGTAGCAGATTCTATGGTGTTGTCTTACCATAAAACCTATCATACATGATTTGCATATCAATGACACTCCCGGCTACTTGTTCTGTCAGTTCATTTTAGTGATGCTAAAGAAGAGTGACGGATGTCACTGGAATCGTCCAGAAGTAATCCCCGTAGTAAAATTTGAATTATCCATCGGTAGCTGTGTAGTTTCAACTACTTCCATAAAAGACACAAGAAGTAAGAACATAGCGTTGTATCAACTGCCATCAGATATATCATGCAATGAATTACGGCCATGCAAAAACTTTGTGTAACTCATATTCGCGGCGCCGGTATATATGACCTTAGTTACCTTTCTGAATTTGATATGCTGAACAGGTTACAAATTTACTTTGTGCTCGAATACATCTAATGTTCGTCCAAGGTCCACCTAATTATTCGTGTTCCTTCCATTGTCATGCATTCATGCAAAAACTTTGTGTAACTCATATTCGCGGCGCCGGTATATATGACCTTAGTTACATGTCTGAATTTGATATGCCGAACAGGTTACAAAATTCACTTTGTGAAATACATCTGATGTCCGTCCAAGGTCCACCTAATTATTAGCGTTCCATCCATTGAGTTGCGAAAGCTTTTACCGGAGGTTGTTGAACTTCGGGTCTTATTTAGGTTAACGGTCTTTTGTTGTATTGACATATTGATGTATACGAGGCATCGAAACGGACTGCAATGCAGCATTTTTAGAAACCACTTCGGTCCTCGTGGGATTCCCGTAGCTGGGAGGCCGGTATCTGAAGAATCGATCATGGCATCTCTTGGGTACAGGTAGTGCTCTTTGTCTTCATGACGGTCACTCATACGGATGAAAGGGTGAGCGTACTAGTAGGGTGCAGGCCTGGCAGCGTGTATACGTAGCCTCGGGTCTGCCTTAGAAGATCACACACCCTTCTCATCTCAATCGATCGCATAGAACTGACCATACAATTCTTTTCATCTCTCAGGCAGTAACTGCATCTAAAATCATATATTC